CTACTGATCTGGCAGTTTTCCATACCAGAAAGGCCGTATTGTTGAGCTAGAATGGTCATCTTTGAACTCAATCTGTCTTTTTAGAGCAAACACGACCCTGAAATTCCCAGATCGTTATTTCAAATCTCTCGAATTATCGTGCGTACAAACACACAAACAGAATGAAACTTTTTGGGTCAGTGGAGTAATGGGCTCCGCTGATCGCCCAGCCAATAGAGCCGAAGAGGGAAGAAGCAAAGGTATCATTTAGGGATGATAAGGCCAATTTGTGAGTGATTTGTTTGTCTTAAAAATATCACATTTGCTCTAAAATTTATTTTGAACATGTAAGAGTTGTAAAATGCTGTCTTAGAAGGTCCATTAAGTCCCATGAAATATGTTTGCTTCTTCCTTCTCTTCTTGTTTTCAGATCAGCGAAATGGTATATTACAATTTGCTCCTTTGCGTACGAATTATTAAAGATCTCTCAGCTTATTTTCAATAGTTCTAGCAAGTTTCAAACTGTTTGTTAGTCATTTACGTGCCACTGACCCCATTATTGCACGCCTACCAACTTTTGTTCCAGTAGTACTCAAACATTTTGGATTGGAACACCCTTGTGTTTAGAGCGGACACAAACCGGCTCGATGTTTGTTCCAGTTCGATCAAATCCGAACCTGATCGCTTGACGCTTGTCTCTAATACAGTTTTACGCAATTGGAAAAAGCAAGTTTGAAATAGAATGAACTTGGTCCAAGAAATCAGTATTGTGTGTGAATGCTAAAGTAGGTACTGGGTATTCATACCTCACGAACATAGTGAATGTCAGTAACGTCCGATTTGTACCGACTCTGGAGAACATCCGCGACTGGGCCGAATATCTTTGAAAACAGAATGAACACTGTCATTAATTTCAAAACGGCCATCTACTTGCATCTGCCCTGTCAGTTCGTGGAACGAACACTCTAATAAGTGCACAGAAAAAGAAAATTTGTCCTCAAAACTAACAAATTAGCTAATTTGGGGATCCACTCATTTCCTTATGGACTCGCTTACGGAGAATTTTGTGCGAACGTATTATGGATCACAAATTATGGATCATTTGTGATACATAATACGTTTGGTCATAATTCACCGTAACATACGGATAGCACATTCTTTCATAAGAAAATGGGAGTGCAGAAAATCCCAAATTCGATGTGGCAGGCAAAAGTTGGTTGCAACAGTAAAGGTTTAGTTGCCACAGCAAAGCTGTTTTTGCAGGAGCGAACCGGTTTGTTCTGACAGCGAAACACCCAATTAGTTGTCAGAACAAACCGGTTGGCTCAGGCAGCTGCAGCTTCGCTGTGGCAAATAACTCTTCACTGTTGCAACCAAATTCTAGCTGCCACAGCAAATTTCATGTCTATCCCGAAAAGACCTAAATATTTTAGTTCTAGCTAGGATTGTTTCGTGTCGGTTTTTCCAGACTAGTTCCAGACCACTAGATAATCTAAGGACTGCTAAGCCCGAAAGAGGGTGTGGTTCGACCCGTAATGTGTAGTTGGCTGAGCGATTAGCAAAGCCTATTACTCCGTCTGGTCGAAAAAAACTTTGTCTGTCTGTCTGCACGTCTGTCTGTCCGCACGATAACTCGAAAACGAATTGAGCTAGCGACCTGGGATTTTCAGGGTTGTTTTCTGTTATAAAAAGACAGATCGAATGAGTGATTTTAGCGGTTAGAAGAACAAGAAGAAGTTTCAAGATGGCCGCCACGGACCACAACAAACATTCAACTGTTTTCCCGAAGCGGCTGCTAGCAGCCGCCCGCGTTCAACGTTGCATTGCGCCCATTTAAGTCAAATTTGGTATCATTTTGTTCGGAAGATAGAGGGGAACACATAAAATAGCATTTGAACATATGTGACGAATTTTTCAGGTTCGTTAGTAAGATACGGTGTTAGTTTGTTAAAATTGTGAACATGAACTATTATTTTGATAGAGTAACACTAAATAGCATTCTTAAAGGTCCGATATCGTTTTCATGGTGTTCTTCGCGTTTGTCTGATTCTAACGAAACCAAGTTTAACTCCAACAGACGCGATATAACATTAGGTAGGTTATTGGGGCTCCCGTGCGCGAGCGGCTGCTCGGGAAAACAGTCGAATGTTTGTTGTGGTCCGTGGCGGCCATCTTGGAACTTCTTCTTGTACTTCTAACCGCTAAAATAACTCATTAAAAGATAAGCATTCTAACTCAAAAATTGGATTTAAAA